GGGGGGGGGAGGGTATAAATGCGTATGTTTGGTGGGGTTTGAAACCCCTTGAACCACAAGAAAGAAAGAAAAACAAAAACATCACACAGTGCTGCGCGATAATTAAAAGAAGGGGGATTTCCGTGAAATTTCAAAGTACTGTATGTTATCAAAGAAATTAGAAAAATTAGGATGGGTGACCATTAATGCCAAAATACGATGAAATAACGCAGGTTATTGAGAGATCAATGGAGACCATCAACTTAAAGTAATTATTGGAAATATGAAAATTATTCACAAATTGTCGCTGTGGAAATCAATAAGTCTAATGAAGGATCAATATGTCTAGTCCTGTTCTACTTTTATCTTGTTTAATACATTTCCACCTGTTGTTATCAAGGTACCCGAAAAAAAAAACACACACACACACAAATTGACCTGCTTCAGATTAGACTTATTAACTTTGATGTTGCATTTAGGAGGATATTTGTCTTCGTAATTACCAGAGTGTGCAGGGAGATTCGGAAGATAGGAAAGCATAGCTGGACTGGATCTGAGTAGATTGCGGACACATAGATCGACTGGACATAAAAAGAGGGTGGGTGGGGTGGGGGGGGGGGAGAAGCAGAAAAGAAGAAAGATGTTTTCAATGTATTTGTAAGTGAGTGTATTTACATATGAATTGCTGTAATGATGCTTTCGAGCTGTGTGTAGTTTTTAATAATACTTACTACGCTGATCATAGAAGATTTTTTTTTCCATCTAAAATAGTCGCTCGTTTTTCAACATTTCCATTAAGAAATGAAGACAATGTTTGATATCGATATCACCAGAAAAAACTTCGCCAACTACTTAGAGCTCTTTTTCGTTAAATAAAATATCATAACATGTACATTAACATGAGTTGTAAGCCCTTTGGCTCGGTACTATGGATGTCGCAACCCTTCAGCCTTGATTCCATGATAGGTACCGTATATCTAGGAGAAATGTGGCTTTTCTGCCTACCCCCAGGCGTAAAGCCGGTCCACAAAGAGTTCGTCAATCGGTCGCCGCGCAGAGACTTTTAACTAACTGCGCTAGCAAGCCGGGCACATAAACTACTTAATGGGGAGATTTCTAAAAAAAAATCGCTTCCGTTTCAATATTAATTTCTACCTCCCAACAATTAGCCTTATTGGCCCGTTTTAGAAAATCTCAAATTCACAGATGCTAAACAAAACGCACCACTTAGGAATCAATCAAATTGTTATCACACTTGTCATCTATCTTTCTATCAAAATCTCATCAGGACAATTAATTGATCAATGGGCTCATGCAGGGTTCAGTGGGGAAACTAGCTTGAAGAAAATGGGCGGGCGCGAATGTTTTGTCCCAGAGTGAAAGGGTCTTGTTGCTTGCCGTAACGCTTCGCCTTTTGAAGATTTCTAATACTGTCACGGCTGCCCCAACAAGGCCGAGGTTATGTTATATATACATTTGTATATTTGCATAATAGTGGAACCTTGTCGGCACTTGCTCCCTTTTCCGGAACTTCTGAGTGCGACCAAAAAACAAAAAACAAAAACAAAAAAAGTCACGTGACGACAAACGCTGTTGCTGATTGGCTTGGCGCTTTTTTTTTTTTTTTTTTTTCTTCTTATTTGGTTCCCTTTAAATGATTTTATTCGTATTTTGATTTCTTTCTTCTGTGATTGTTTATAAAAAATTTTGTATGTGTTAAGTTTTAATGCTTCTTAATTTTTTAATTGTTTCTGTTCCTTTTTTCTTCACTTTTCATGACGTTAAATGTATTTCTTTGTTTCCATATTTTTTTTCTTTCTTTCGCCATGTCAATTTTTTTTTTAAAATTACTAGTTATGTTTTTTGTTGTTTCTGTTCATTCTTTCTCACTTTTTTTTTTAAATACTCCAATGTTCGCCTTATTTTTCAAAGATTTTGTTTTACCCCTTCTCTCTTTTTTCAACTACTTTGTGTCTGTAAAAGTGCTTAAGCCTCCATGCAGGGGCACTAGAGCCTGTGTGATCAGGTATCTTGAGTCCTAGCTCCACCCGCTAGAAATCTGTAAGAAGATTAGGCTGTCCTCATAAACATGGCGTATAGAAGTTCTCTTTTTAACTATTCGTGTGTAACTTCACATTGTTGCAAATTTATTGTTATAGTTATTTGCCATTCACCATATCACCATCACTTTTGTTACGCATTTATGTCGCATTGAGGCCCCACCCCTTAGACAGTTTGTTGGGGACTTGTGAACCCTTCCTCCTCCCCTTACCCCATCCTCTTGTCGACACTCTTGCCTCACTGTAATTTGTTTTAACCTGTCCTAAACTGTTACCGTTGGGGCTGCGTGGTCTCGAGGTATGGTGTCTGCCTTGTGTGCTAAAGGTTCCGGGTTCATATCCTGGTAAGAATTAGAATTTTTTTCACGTAGACTTGGATTTCTAGGTAGTGAGATCGGACTCCCGTGTAAATTGTTGAGCACCTAAACAAATTCCTGGCGGTTGGAAATCGAAAAGAGTAGCCCGGGCAAAATTTGGAGTTAAAAATCTACCCGAAAGTATTTCAGGATCCTCGCCGGCGCTACAGAGCTTTTGCTGAACTTCTTCGTACTCAGGCTTGAGTTAAAAGAAGAACGGAGCACCTGTGTGCCATGATGTTAATCCATTGGTCGAAACCTCAAAACCTCAAAATGTTACCGTTTGTTGTAGTGTGTCAGTGGGTCTGTACTTTTCCCGTCAAAGACGACTAATTAGAGGTGTTTCCTTTTAAGTCAACGTGCATGTGTCTCAGAGGCGGCGAGGAACCAACAGTCTGCATACGGATAATCTATAAATGTAAAACTAATATGCATGCAGGTTCTGGAATCCGACTATACTCCAGAAGTGGATAAACAAACATTTGCTGCAATATATATATATTTGTTTTTCTTAGCACTTGCCAACTGTAAATTCTGGTTGTTTATTCACTTCTGGTTTTCCCCCAGAATTTCAGTTTTGCTTGCACATCTATTTTACAGATCTAGTATATTTGTGTGCAGACTGTTGGTTTCTTGCCTCTAATGTAGATGCACTTTGGCTGCGAAGGAAACTTCCCCTTAGTTAGTCGACTTTCACAATATAATTATTAAGGCGCCATTTGGTCTATTCTTTTTCCGGTAAAATGCGACTAATTAGGGGAGTTTTCCTTCTAAGAACACGTGTATGTGCGTGAGAGGCAGGGGCTTTGCTGGCCTGAGGAAAGGGGGGGGGGGAAGGGTCGTCCCGTTGAACCAGCATCCCTTAAGGGGGAGTTTGAGGTTTAAATTCTGACTAGGTTATATTTTTAAAAAAAAGTAAAGGACCCTTTTCCACGGCATAAGGCGTATAGGGCATATAGGGCTAGACCTATATTTTTATAGACCTATCGGTACAAGATGGGTGATGTGGTCAGCATCACGCCGCCCGCCTTTACTTTCCTGGGACTGCACCCGGTACCCACTCAAGGCTGGGTCGGCCTGGGAGCCAAGGTCATTTTTGAAAAAAGTCTGGCTCCGCCAGGGAGCGAACCCACGACCTTCCGATCCTCGACGAGCGTCTAGCTGCTCGGCCACGGCCACTCCCTAACTAGATTATATGCGCCACATAAAATGACTTAGCACTACATGCCACCAAGAGTCCTGAAGTGGACCCCTACAGCATTGATGCGATCAAAGAAGACAGACCCAAATACTGGGCAAACAGCAACACAATCGTCTACAGGGGAGCCTATGCGGGATGCGGTCGCCTATGGTAAGAGGTTGCAAGCATGCTAGAATGCTTTACTGTGGCTCTAAGGTTAGTTGCCTAACCTTTACAGGACGTTGCAGAACCAACGTGGTTTTCATTGGCAAATTTACGTCCAGTAGTTTGCAATTGCCCCTGGACGGTCGGCTTTCTTGATACGACTGTCGAAATCAACGCGAGGCACATGGCCTGCAACTGGGATCTAACCTGGCATCCCGGTATTACGAAGCGTTCGCATCGACTTAGCCACACAGCCGACTGCTGTGGCTCTAGTTGCTGAAATATGTAAAGGACTAGTTTCCACCACTGGCGTATCGGGCATATAGTGCTAGAACTTTACTAAACCTTACAGGAAGACAACAAATCAAATGGTGTAATCATGTAAACAAGATTGGCATCAGACAGGGCAACACATAGAGCAATGTTTAGCAGTTAAAACGGTAACAGGTCAAGAGGTAGACCGCGCAGAATATCAGAGACACTGAAAAGTACTTTATATGAAGCGAAAAGAAGGGTCCGTTCCAGAGATGTCTTTCTGTCCTGACGCCGTGAAGCATTCCGGGAGTAGAGTAAAGAAGAAAAAGAAGTGCTAGAACTGGACTGTATAGACTAGTGATTCCCAAACTGTGCGCCGCGGGCACCCCCCCCTCCCCCCGCCCCCCGCCCCTGGGAGCTGAGACCTCTTCACAGGGGCGCTGCGAAATATTCAAAGAGTTTTTTTTTTAATTACAGACGAATAGTTATACTTTTACTTAGGTGAGGGCGCCGTGGAAAAATTGTAATTGAAAAAAAAAGCGCCGCGACTAAGAAAAGTGGGGAACACTTGTATAGACCAATTAGCACTTGGTGGGTAGTGTGTGGTCAGCATCAGGCTGGCCACCCTTATTTCCCAGGACTTTACCTAGTACACGTTAAGGGCTATGTCGACCTGGGAGCAAAGGTCATTAGTTGCTGAAATATATATTCTTCTTCGCGTTCGCCGACTGTAGATTCTGGTTCGTCCATCTCTGGAATTTGGTCTTGTTTCAGATCCTGGGTGATGCGTGCGCATCCATTTTACACATCTGGCCTTTTTTGCATGCAGACGGTTGGTTCCTTGCATTTTAAGCAGATGCATTCCAACTTTGAAGGATGCCCGGATTTATCGATTCTTTCGACGTGGCTGTTGGGGAAACAGTGGGTCTGTTGTTGTTTTCCCCACAATGAGATCCCGAAACCCACACATGGAGCTGGAATAATCACACACAAATGCCTTCTTACCTGGGTCTCTGTGACTGCTAGTTGGCTGGCCATTTCTGCTCGTTCCGCTGATGACAAATATTTCTTCTGCTCAAACTGCTTCTCCAGCTCAAATATCTGCCGTCCAGTGAATGTAGTTCTAGCCTTTTTCTTCTTCGCTCCATTTGGATCATCTTTGGCTTCTTCATCTAGTTTTCTTTTCTTATCATTCACATCTGGTTCTGAAATGCAAACATACATTATTGTAATAATCAGGAGTAATTAGTCTTTTCTTCTTCTTCAAGTCCATGTGGCCTTGGTAGCCATGTCTATCCGCAACCTTCTGTCTCGTGTACGTTTAATCAACTCTAACACAGATGATCCTCCATGCCATGATGTCAAACTGTCCAGCATCTGTTCTCTAGGCCTGACTCTGCCTCTCCTCCACTCCAGTTTCCCTACTGTCACGATGTACTCCAGATTTCACCTTCTCATCACATGACCCCCACACACACACATACAAAATTTGGTCAGTATCCTAAAAAGAAATGTTTAATGTAAGACTTTGAACTAATTTGAGGTATCAAATCGTGAACTGATAAAACCGACAGTTAAACTCTTTTAGTACCAAGCAACGCCTGATACGGCTCTTGGTTGTTCCAAAGATAATTTAATGTCTTTCCTTTTTTTTTTTTTTTTTTTTTGATTTTAGACAGAGGCTGTATTCACACTTGTATCTAAATTAGTGTAACTACTTTTGTCTCATTAGGTCGACCCCTCAAACCTAAAAGTTTATATTTAAAATATCACTTGCCGTCCTTTTTAGGATGACATTTTTTGTTATTTGAAGCCCCACTCTGGCTCTTGCCAGGGGCCGCAATATAGCCAGCCATAAATATGGCCAATTGGCTGAACGCGGATCTGAGACCTCTCCACGGTAATCCTCATCCACATGGTGGCACATTGTGTCATCGGGTGTTTATCGCTTGTATGATGTCCTGGTGGGGTAGAAAGTCAGTCAGTCAGTCTAAGAATTTATTGTTTTGAAGCTCGAATCCATATGATACAATGAGTTAAGTGAAAATCAGCTTGGCACTGAAGGTGTTAAATGTTTCTTCTTTTTCTTCTTCTTATAATTATTAATATGCTTCCTCCTCCTCCTTCTTCTTCTTCTTCTTCTTCTTCTTCTTCTTCTTCTTCTTCTTCTTCTTCTTCTTCTTCTTCTTCTTCTTCTTCTTCTTCTTCTTCTTCTTCTTCTTCTTCTTCTTCTTCTTCTTCTTCTTCTTCTTCTTCTTCTTCTTCTTCTTCTTTTCTTCTTCTTCGCGTTCACCGGCTATAAACTCCAGCAGAAAGTTCTGGGGGTTCGTCCACCTCCGGAATTTGGTAGTCTAGTTCCAGAACCTGAATGTTACGTGCACACCCGTTTCACAAATCTGGCTTAATTTTATGCAGACTTTTGGTTCCTTGCCTCTCAGGCAGATGACTCCGATTTCACAGTATGCCCGTAATGTTTGTTAGGCTTTTAGTCTATTCTTGTCCCCCACAAAGAGGCCCCGGATTCCACATGAGGAGTTTTTTTTATATGTGACGACAGTGTTGGTGATTCTCACCTGAAGACGACGATGACGGAGACGCACAAGCAGGACTGCCAGTAGATCTTGTGTTGTCCCCATCGCGATGATGCAAGTCTCGTTGGTTGCTGCTGTAGAGATCCTGCTGGCTGTCACAGTGCCCTCGGTTAATGATAAGATTCACGTCTTTGCCAGCTCGGCTGTTGCTGCGAGAGTTATGCTGATGGTGATGCTGCTGGTTGTTATGGTAACTGATGGAAGATCTTTGAAGATGATGGGTACAGCGAACTTCATGTTCCAACGAATGGGCCTTGCCGGAGTCCAGTAAATCACATCTGTGGGCAAAAAACAACAAGGATGTACATAAACTTCCAATTAAATTTTGCATTTTTTCAACTTTCGGCAAAAGTGATATAAAGTGATGAAAATATGCATTATATATATAAATATATTTTTAAATCCTTTAGGTTAATTTTTTATCAGTTTTAATGTCTCCTCTTTCTCTTTCTCCCTCTATCTGTTCTCTCTCTCTCTCTCTCTCTCTCTCTCTCTCTCTCTCTCTCTCTCTCTCTCTCTCTCTCTCTCTCTCTCTCTCTATCTTTCTTTTTTTTCCGAGCGCGCGCATATGTGTGTGTGTGTTCTTCCCCCTCCCCATTCTTTCTCTGAACTGTTGTAATAGTAAAACGGGAACTTATATATTAAAACTCAAACCGCAGCCCATTTCCAGAGCGCACTGTCAAATCTTCGGTACTATATTTTTTAGTTACCCCAATGACGTCATGAAGACGTCACGGGATTTCCCCAGGATTCTCCGTATTTAGGGTAACTAAGAAATAAAGCACGGCAACTTTTGACAGTCCTAACACAGAGCCGCCGTGGTGTAGCAACTAGACGCATGCCTGTGGATCCGGAGGTCGTGGGTTCAAATCCGCATGGAGCCGGAATGGATTTCATATATGACCTTAGATCCTATGTCGACCCAGCCTTACATGAATACCAGGTAAAGTCGTGGAAAGTAAAGGCGAGCGGCGTGATGTTGACCACATCACCAATCAAAGATCCGTAACATTTGAGTCTAGCCTCATAAGCCCCAACGTCACTAGCATTTATCGATGCTGTGACTTTACTTTTGCAGATCTAACAATGTATTTTATTGTTCTTTGTCAAACGCTATCAATCAACTTTTTTTTCTTTAAAGGAAAGACATGGGTAAACATATTTGACAACATATAAATATCTATATATATATATATTCAAAAACACGTGTGGCTGTGTGTGTGTGTGTGTGTGTGTGTGTGTGTGTGTTTTAGACGCATTAACTGTTGTTTTTTTAAATTAAAAATGTAAAAAGTGGTACCTTCTGGTGTGTTTTGGTACCTTTTCAAACAAAATGTGTGTTGTTTTATTATTATCGTACTCCCCCCCCCCCCCCTTTTTCGTCACAGGTCAGTCCAAAATTTTAGAGGGTGGTGAGACTGACTGACTTTCTACCCCACTAGGACATCACACAAGCGATAAACACCCGATGACACAAAGTGCCACCATGTGGATGAGGATCGCAGTGGAGAGGTCCCAGAAATCGCGTTCAGACAATTGGCCATATTTATGGCCTAACAATATTGCGGCCCCTGGCAAAAGCCAGAGTGGGGCTTCAAAAAACAAAAAATGTCATCCTCAAAAGGACGAAACTGGATTATATTAGGGTGGTAAGACTGGGTTTCTGGTGCTTTTAACGACCCCAGAACATCTAGATAGAACTGGCCCTAACACCAACCCACCTTCGTCCCAAGAGAGAGTGCAACCTAGGTCATACGACTGCATGCAGCCTATCTACCACCCCCTGAAATATTAGACTGTCCCGTGACCTGTAGATTTCCTCTGTTTCGGGTAGGATATTCATAAAGGACCAAATTGTGTACTTACATCCCCCCCCCCCCCCAACTAAAAAAAAAATAATAATAATAATAATCGGCAACACTGAACGGGTGTAAGATAACCTACCTTCTGATATCAGAGTCCATGGTTTCATTTTCGCTGGACTCCCCTAAGATGTCAGCAATAAAGAATGACGTCAGCCGTCGGGGAGGCTTATTATACACGTGGGGGTGCCAGGATCTTGGTGGGGCAAACATTGTACCGATTTATTCAGGAGGGGCGTATAGCTGTAGCCAAAAGTGAGAAATATATTATTTGTATAATACACACTGTCGAATCCCGAACAAACGGGCACAGACACAAAGTAAATATGTGGGGGTCTCAGCTCATTAGGAAGTGTATTATTGTTGAGGTCAGTGCCTCAAGGGAGCTATACTCATGTTTAAGTGTGTAATTTCATACATACGTACAGACAGACAGACAGACAGAAAGACAGACAGACAGACAGACAGACAGACAGACAGACAGACAGACAGACAGACAGACAGACAGACAGACAGACAGACAGACAGACAGACAGGCAGGCAGGCAGACAGACAGACAGACAGACAGACAGACAGACAGACACACGTACACACATACACACATACACACACACACATACACACACACATACACACACACACACATACACACATACACACATACACACATACACACATACACACACACATACACACATACACACATACACACATACACACATATACACACACACAGACACACAGACACACAACGACATACAGACATACAGACATACAGACATACATACATACATACACACACACACACACACACACACACACACACACACACACCACATACATACATACATACATACATACATACATACATACATACATACATACATACATACATACATACATACATACATACATACATACATACATACATACATACATACATACATACATGCATGCATGCATGCATGCATGCATGCATGCATGCATGCATGCTGCATGCATGCATGCATACATACATACATACATACATACATACATACATACATACATACATACATACATACATACATACATACATACATACATACATACATACATACATACATACATACATGCATGCATGCATGCATGCATGCATGCATGCATGCATGCATGCATGCATGCATGCATGCATGCATGCATGCATGCATGCATACATAAATACATACATACATACATACATACATACATACATACATACATACATACATACATACATACATACATACATACATACATACATACATACATACATACATACATACATACATACATACATACATACATACATACATACATACATACATACATACATACATACATACATACATACATACATACATACATACATACATACATACATACATACATACATACATACATACATACATACATACATACATACATACATACATACACACACACACACACACACACACATACATACATACATACATACATACATACATACATACTACATACATACATACATACATACAAACCGACACACACACACACACACAACACACATACTTACATACATACATACATACATACATACATACATACATACATACATACATACATACATACATACATACATACATACATACATACATACATACATACATACATACATACATACATACATACATACATACATACATAAATACATACATACATACATACAGACACACACACACACGCACATAC